TTTGTTTTGTTTTTGTATCATATCATTATTATCTAATATCATAAATTCTTATAAATAATTGATGATTTCATATCTCTTAAGAATGTTATTCGATAATTTGATGCATTTCCAATAAAAATGATTGGAAACGAGTGATATTAATGATGAATATGATGATAATAATAGTAATGATAACAATGATATCAATGATAATGAAAATGATAAATGTTAAAAATATCTTGAAACATTAATCATTTGGATGAAAAGACGATAATATCAAGATCGCTTCATCTGCTCGAGATTTATTTTTTATTTTTATTTAAATTTTATGCTTACGTTTATTTTATTTAACTCATTAAATATAATGATTAACTTAATTACGTAATTAATGATTTACGATGACAAGAATTGTTATTTCTTACGTATTTTTGATATTTGATTTAAAATTTTCCCCACCTTCTATTAATTTTTTTTGTCACTTTATTTTTTTTTTTGAAAGTTACATTGTGTTCTTTATTCAATAATGCATATCAATCATCCATTATTTCATTATAATAATGCTAAAATTATTTCTGCAATATGTTTGATCCAATTTTTTTTTTTTAACAAATTATTAATTCCTTTTTCCTTGCTGATTTATATTACAGTAATTTTATGTAAATTCAAATTTATAAAATTTTGTCGCGAAAATAAATGAAACTTCTTAGGATCATTTGTACATCATTTTCATTCAATCCAAATTCAAATTAATTAAATTAAGCATGATTAGTAAATTAAGGAGTGATTATTTTTAAAGATAAACTTGAAAATGACAATTAATGTTCAAATGAATTAAATGAAGTTACAAAAGTGAAATTGAAGAATATGGACAAAATATATTTTTTAATTGGAAATGGAAATAGAATGTCCAAAATCAATTCTTGCCAATTCTAATAAATGCATTAAAATGAGTACAAATGTGATATTTGAAATATTAATGAATAAATTTATCAAATTTTCCGTCTCCAATTGTGCTTATCATGAATATATAAAATATTATTGCTATGGGGATTTATAATCTTGAAATTAATTTGAAATATTTGTAATGATATTTTACACTTCCTGGGATAGTTATTTCATTTATTGATTCAAACATGCCTATTTTTTTTTTTTAGATTAACAAAAATGATAAAGTTCGCTCAGAACTCCCCTCCTTTTTTTCGTTTTTTTTTCATCAAAAATCTAAAACAGCTAATTCGAATCGATTTATATCGAAATTCAATTACTTTTTATCAATTTAATTTTATATTCTGATCAGTGATAACATTTTTTCCTCAATATTTATTTGCAATTTAAATGATTTCTTAAAGCTCATCATATTTGTTAATTCATTCAAAATTCATTTCCTTTACTATTCCGAATTTCTTCAGATCTATTTCGCTTATTTCTTCTGTTCTCAGTTGAAATGTTTCGATATCAGAAAGAGCAGTAAGAAATCTTCTCCCTAATTGGTTAATTTTTTTTAATTATTTAAGAAATTCAGCAACAATCAATGTATTTTGCTATCATGAGCAATTCTAGAGAAATAAAAATTTGATGGAATTTAATAAATTAAAGCAAACATTTCCATTGATGTATTCCAATATTGTCGCCGTAAAAAAATTTGAAAATTCAACTCTCTATGCATCATACAAATACCTAGAAACATTTCAGGAGATTTTTTTTTCTCTTTTTTTTTTTTATTTAATTTCATTCCGATATATTATAATAATGTAAA